TTTTTTTTTGCAGTTTTTGGCTGGGGCTGGGTTTGAACCTGCCACCTCTGGCATATGGGGTCAGCACCCTACTCCTTTGAGCCACAGGCGCTGCCCATGATGCCTTTTTTAAAAGACTGTTCCATAGCTAAAAAGTATAATGTGCTTACACAGACATTTTTGCTCTGGGTCTAGTGCTGACAAAACTATCAAATCTAGAACTACACTTACCTTCTATAGGTAGCCGCTGGCGTATAGCCAGGCGTTCCATTTTCCGCTGTGCTTCTGCCAGACTGAAAAGGACTCCATATATATATTGACGAGCTGACCGGAACAAGAGAGCAGCTGGAGGCAGCTCCATGTTACATTCATCCTCAATACATACAGGGATCTTAATTTCACCCTAACAAAAGAATAGTCCAGGGGAAAGGGGAAAATGAGTTATCTCAAAGTTTGTAATTGAACCTAGAGGAACCAGTAGCCTTTGCAGCCTAGTCACTAAATTTTCTATTTCTATTTAGACATAATATCAGGCTCAAAAGATATTAACAAGCCTAGCTTATCACAATGAATTTATAAGCTATTTTCCATTTTTAAATTCTCAACCATTATTAATGGGAAAAGTCTATCTTGGATATTTTGCTAGGGGATGGATTTGTATATTAAGACTGCAGGAGAGAAACAGCTCTGCAGAAGTTGAGGAGAGATAAGGAACAACGGCATAAAGCCTCTTCTGAAACTGTTTTCCATCCCTAGAACGAGAGTCCACCAATTTGGCAAATTATGTACTTCAAAATTTCACAATTACACTTCTTTTCTAGGCACTTGATTTACTATACAGTCTCATCTCCTGTTGGTCTCACCTAACTTGATAACCTTAATATAGCAAGGGGCCCCAGCATATTTGGTCTCCTTTAATTTCCCCTCAGAAACTAATGGTCAAATTTTTTTCTGGTAACTTACAGTCCTAGGAAGTATGAAATGTGAACATTGTCTTAAGAGCAGGAAGGTAGGTGCTGATGTGCTGCCTCACCTTAGTGAGGATGTGATAAATATATGGGTACATAAGACCCCTCCGGTGCCTATGTTCAGCAACTCGCAAGACTTCTGGAGCAACTGGAGGTAAAGGTGGAATGGTGATGTCCATGTGGTTTCTTGTAGACATAGATAGCAGAGATGGAATGTGGGTTTCACTGTCACCTAGGCTGGCTTCTGAAAATCCAGCATCAACAGGCTGTATCCAAGAACCTCTGTCACCATTGGGCTCTTCCCATTCAGGCTGCTGCTGAAGTGCTTCTGTGATATGACTAAAAAATTTGGAAAGACAGCATATTCCAACTTAAGATGTCCATTCTGGGCCCAAGGGATCTCACAAACCCTTTGAAGATCAGGACATTAGGTTAGAACTGGACCTCATACCTTTCCTTTCAGTGACTATCACTGCCCTCCTATCTTCTTTCACCTGACACAAACCAAAGCTATCAAAAGACATGAGAATCTCTCATCACTACTGTACTTGACTAGAAAAAAAGTCATCATAATCACCCTGGATCCTTTATACCTTGCAAGAGGCCATGTTTAGAGTCTGCTTATGAATTAAGAAAATATTTACTATATTAGATCTTAGCCAAAAGACAGAAGCAATAAGAAAATATTTATAATTACAACCTCAAAGCAGCTCTGTTTCAAAGGAATAATCTGCTTAGAGGAATAATCTGTGACCAAATGAGCTAGTACAAAAGCCTACTATTTTTAATCCTTGTAACTCTGTCTTAGTTTCCAAGCAATATAACTGCCTGCTCAACTGTTCCAATATTTCTACTCTATAAAATATTTTCTTCCTTTTTTTTCTTTTTTATATTCAGCCTACTCTCCTCACAAACCAAGAAATGATAGCCACGATATACAGCATATCCATACTGGGGCTTCCCTACCCAGCTGTTATATACTGCCTTTTACCTCAGTAACCTGTGTCCCAAAATTACCACCTATACAAGGCTGAATGAAGTGGGTAAGCACTTAGAAAGTTTTCCTATTTTGCTTTCCTGAAAGCAAAGAGCTACCAAGGAAAGCCAGGAATATACTATTCCCCATACCCCCTACACAGGTTACTAGCAAAAGGATACATACAGATGCTTCAGAAGTTTGTTCCATTGGGTATCTGTAGAGATACTTACTCAGAGCTAGCTCCATTTGGTTCATCATCAGAGGAAGAGGAGTGGAAGGAGTCTGGTCCCGAAGGAGGTGAGACTTTAGAAGTCAGGTAATTGGGAAACTGGGATGCAGAGGAGTCATAAGAGACAGTCCAGCTGGCAAAGGGGCTGCCCTGAAGCATGGGGTCCTCAGAAAAAGCATGGGATGCCCCCAAAGCATGGGGGGAGAAGAGAAGAGATGAGTTGGGTCCCATTGGGAATGGTGGTGGATATTTCATTTTCTGGGGTACTTGGTGAGCAAGCTAAAGGACAAAACAGACAGAAAAGCTATTTAACATTTTAGTAGGCCCCAAGATGTTTCCCCCCAAAATTGTGACACAGTGGATGATGCCAGTTGCATGGATTATTAAGATACAAAGTACCTACTGAGAATAATGAGAAATAATTCTAACAGTGATGTGTAAACAAAATCTTCCACCGGCAGAACAATGTAGCAGTCAAGGTCTCCTAAGACCTAATCTACCTTCACAATGTTCTGGTGGTTTCAATTTGGATGCCTTTCTTTACATAGTCTCCCAGCCTCAAACTGAAAATGTGATGTAGGTGTGTACAGCCTTGACAGTTTGATAACACTGAATCACCCTAACTCCTTAACTAGGTCATAAAAATCAGGAAGCAACCCAAGACTAATGCTAACAGTCTCAGGACTCTTACAGGATGCTTACCATTGGCTTTCCAGCAGAAATGGTGCCAATTTGATTTCGTGGAAGGTGAGGATGCCTATTATTTCGAAAACCTGAAGCCAAGAGAAAGGTCTATACTTCAGTCAGTCCTAATAAAACTACCATGTTACATTCTCCTCATCACATATCACCTAAAAATTGTTATTAATAAATAAGTTACAATTTATTAAATAGCTACTAATACACCATGCCAGCAACCTTATATAAATTATTTTATCTGATAACAATGCTATAAAGTAGATATAAATGTAACTTGCTGATGTCACAAAATTGATAAGCAGCAGAGGTAGAATTCACACTCAGGCCTGACCCCAAAGACATAGCTATTCTACATGCATCAAGCAAGAACAGAAGTTAGCACCAGAAGAAGTCCAGGTTAAGGAAAGTTGTATCTCATCCATAAATTTGAGAACGTAGGGACTTTTTTTATGTCACCTCTCATATGATATAAAAATTAAAATGAAAATACCTATCAAACAGGAATTCCTTCTAGGAGAGCACAATACAAGCAAGGGATTCTACTCTGGCCCTCGAGTTCCTGAGGGATCAACTCATATTCCCATATGAACAGAGCAGCTTGAAGTCAGATGGAAGCCTTACCTAAAAGGGAGGAACCCACTGGCAGCGAAGAGAGTTTGGTTGTGACTGAATAGTACTCAACTGCTTTCTTGAATCGTTCTATTTTATCTTCTGTCCTGGACTGGATATTGGAACATCAGATTTTCAGAAGAAGAAACAACATGAGAATATCTTTTTCATATAACTTATAATTTGGGAATGAGAATAGTATCAGAAATCAAATATTTAAAGAAACCCAAGAGAGCAAATTTTCATTTCACAAAAAGGATTAGGTAGGGAGAAAGCATTATAAAACAAAAAATACAGATTAAAAAAATAAAGTTTACTTACATTTTGTGCAATTCTAATATGATCACATAATCATTAGAAAAAATACATAGAGATAAACAAAAACATAGATTTAAAAAAAAATAATACCATCATCCAAAGATATTTGGACTATAACAGGTACTCTATCTAACAAATTCAAAACACTGGAAGCTAATTGTTTGTACCCTCACATTAATCTGAAATTTTTTAAAAAAAGATATTTTTGAGTATTCCTTTACAATACTATTTTAAATATTCTTTGTTGCTGAAGTATAGCTAGTTTATTTTAATAAACATTTCTCTATAGTGGATACCATACTCTATATACAATTTTGTATCCTTCTTTTATTATACTAATCTGATCTATCTAAATAATTTTGAATGGCTGTATATTTTATCATTATGAATATATCATAAATTATGTAATAATTTCCCTAAACCCTATTATGTTAGTTCCCATATTTGGTTATTATAAGTGATACAGAAAAGTGCATACATTATCTATATAATTTTTTTCTGGACTTCAGATTATGCTCTTAGGAAAATATCAAAAAAATGAAATTATTGGTTCAAAAGGTATGAATGTTAAAACCAAAAGCACTTAAACATGTATAAAACCGCAATGTCACACCACTCAGTACCCTCCAGAATGGCTAAAATAAGACTTCCAATATCACACACTTGCAAGATATGGAGTAACAATTAATAGAACCCTAGTTTATTGCTAGTGAGAGTACAGTCTGGAAAATAGTTTGGAAGTTTCTTATGTAATTAAACATACACTACTATATAGTACAACAATTCTACTCCTAAGTATTTACCTAAACTAAATGAGTGCATTTATCCACCAAAAGACATGTACAAGAATGCTAACAGCTTTATTTATAATAGCCATCAACTGGAAATAACTCAAATGTATATCAACAGAAGAATGCATAAATTGAAGTATATTCATGTAATGGATTACTATGTGGTAATACAAAAGAACAAAGTACTGCTACACACAATGATATATATAAATCTCAAAGATACTATACTGAGTGAAGAAGAGCGACATGGAAGATTACATATAAAGTCAATGTAGAGGCAGAACTAATCTATGGCAATAGAAGTAAAAATTAAAATTTATCTCTATGGGGAAAAGGGCTGACTCAAAAGGGGCTTTTTCACTCCTCAAGCCTCTTCTGATGTTATTTTTTTTGCAAGCCATCTAGTTTGTGGTACTTTGTTATAAAATCCCTAGGAAACTAATACAAGCCTCAAACCTCCACACTAACTAAACTTTTATTTTAGATTACACTTTATGAATTATTTCTTTTTTTATTTCACATTGATATGAGGGTACAGATATTTCGGCTACATTGTCTATACTTTCAAGGTAACATTCAAATTATAGTTGAACCCTTCACCCAGGGGATGTGTTGTATACCCTAACACTGCACATTGGGTGATAACTTGCCAATCACCTTCCTTCTTCCCCCTCACTAGAATATAGTTGTGTTCTTCTCTCAAGTGGGTGTGTAGTATCTATATATTCATTACATGTAAGTATTGAGTACATTGTGATACTTAACTAAGAAGAACATGTTTCAACTCCATCCAGAAAAATAGAAAAGACATAAAGTCTCCATCTTTTTTTTTTTTTTTTTTTTTTGAGACAGAGTCTCACTTTTTCACCCTTGGTAGAGTTCCATGGCATCATACCTCACAGCAACCTCAAACTCTTGGGCTTAATCAATTCTCTTGCCTCAGCCTCCCAAGTAGCTGGGACTACATGTGCCCACCACAATGTTCAGATATTTTTAGAGACAGAGTCTTGCTCTGGCTCAGGCTGGTCTGAACCTGTGAGCTCAGGCAATCCATCCACCTTGGCCTCCCAAGTGCTGAGATTACAAGCATGACCCACTGAGCCCTGACCATGTCCATATTTCTTATGGCTGAATAGTATTCTGTGGTATACATATACCACAGTTTCTTAATACATTCACAAGTTGATGAGCACTTCAGATGCTTCCATGTCTTAGTGATTGTGAATTAAGCTGCAATAAACATTCTCATGCAAATTGTGTTAAAATGCTTCTTTTTCTTCTGGGTAGGCCAAGTATGTGATTGCAGGATCAAATGGAAGGTCAAGATATAGTTCTTTGAGAATTCTCCATACTCCTTTCCATAAAGGTTGTATTAGTTTGTAATCCCACCAGAAGTGCAAAAGTGTTTCTTTATTTCTATATTCATACCAGCATCTGCAGCTTCAGATTTTGTAATGTGGCTATTCTCACTGGGGTTAGCCTGTATCTCAGAGTGGTTTTGATTTGCATTTCCCTGATGATTAGGGACAATGAGCATTTTTTCATGTGTTTGTTGGCCATGTGTCTGTCATCTTCAGAGAAGTTTCTGATTTTCTTGCACATTTAAAAATGGGGTTATTTGCTCTTTTCTTGTTGATTAGTTTGCATTCTCTGTAGATTCTAGCTATCAGCCCTTTGTCAGATTCATAGCATGAAAAACCTCCCATTCTGAAGTCTGTCTGTTTGCTTTAGTTGTTATACCCTTAGCTGTGCAGAAGCTTTTTTGCTTGATCATGTCTCTTTTATTTATTTTTGGTGTTGCTAAAATTGCCAAGGGGGTCTTCTTCATAAAGTCCTTTTCCAGGCCAATTTATTTTTGTTTTCTTTCTTTTCTTTCTTCTTCCTCCCCCCGTTCCTACCTTCCTTTTTCTTTTCCTTTGTTCCTTCCTTCCATTTTTTTTGGGGGGGGGACAAGAGTCTCACTTTGTTGCCCTTGGTAGAGTACTGTGGCATCACAGCTTACAGCAACCTCAAACTCCTAGGCTTAAGCGATTCTCTCGCCTCAGCCTCCCAAGTAGCTGGGACTACACGTGCCTGACACACTACCTGGCTATTTTTGTTGTTGTTGAAGTTGTCATTGTTGTTTTAGCTGGCCCAGGCTAGTTTCAAACCCGACAGCCTTGGTGTATGTGGCTGCCACCCTACCCACTGAGCTATGGGTGCCACTCCTCCCAGGCCAGTTTCATAAAGAGTTTTCCCCATGCTCTCTTTCAGAATTTTTATTAGGTTACATAGTTCTCTCTGTAGAGATCCTTCACATCCTTTAATGTTAGCTATATTCCCAGGTATTTCATTTTCTTTGACACTACTGTAAAACCTGTAAAGTGTTTTGTGCCTTTTATTTGATGCTCAGTTTCACTTTTGTTGACATATATGAAGGCTACTTATTTGTGGACACTGATTGTCCCAAGGACATGCTTTTGTTTGGTTGTATCCTGAGACATTTATGTATGCCTTGATTAATTCTAAGAGCCTTGTAGTTGACTCCCTGGGGTCTTCCAGGTATAAGATCATATTATCTGCATAAAGTGAGAGTTTGACCCCCTCTGTCCGCATTTAAATACATTTGATCTGCTTCTCTCACCTGATTGCATTGGCTAGAACTTCCAGCAGTATGTTGAATAACAGTGGTGATAGTGAACATCCTTGTTGCAGTTCTAAGTGAAAATGCTTTCCGTTGTGGAGAGTGGGCTGTGTGAGACGGAAGATTCCTCACAGCCTGGAGAACATTCACAGAATGAACCCCCAACTGCTTCTCCTCCATTCTGAAACAGCCATATTCCTTTCTTCATGCTCCCTCTGCCAGAAGTCACGTAGCTCTTCCTTTGTCTAGTTAACTATGCAGAGATCCTTGAGATCCCTCCTTTTTTCCTCCTTGTCATATTCTAACAATGTAGTAACCTCCAAGTCACATAGCTGTTCCTTTGTTTTGTCAACTATGCTGAGATCCTTGTGATCTTGCCCTTCTTACTTCTTGTAATATGTTAATGAAGTTGAGTAGAAACCATTAATATGATGATTTGTCTTTATTAAAGTCATTTATATTTTCCAATTGTATTGTATGACCAAAATTATGTCTTTTGTTTATGCTATTTCCCCATGTTGTCTATGCTACTTCCCTCTGGACAACCCTGTACAGATACTATAACATAGAGCTGATTTTGTACTTTGGGGCTGGCTATAGCCATCAGCTCAGTTAGTCCTCCTTGTCCCATCCTTTGTTTCCATGTCTTCTCTTGTGCTGTATTTTCCTCATTGCCCACCAATTCCACTCTGGTTTGCTCTCCTTCCCATGTTGGTTTGTGACATTCAGTTTAACTTCATTCGGTATGATATGGTTTGTTATAGATGACCTCTATCAGTTTAAGAAATATTCCACCTAAGCCTATTTTCTTATGTTTTCTTATCAAGAAAGGATGCTGGATATTATTAAAAGTCTTTTCTACATCGATTGAGAGGATGATATGGTCCTTGTTCTTGTTTTTATTCATGTGGTGAATTACATTTATGGATTTATGTATGTTGAATCAAATTTGCATCCTTGGGATCAAATCAACCTGACTATGATATATAATTTTTTTAATGTATACTCCTATATTCTAGGATCTTATTGAATATTTGTGCATCCATGTTCATTAATGATATTCGTCTATAGTTTTCCTTTTTGTTGGGTCCTCTCCTGGTTTTGCAATCAGGTTGCTATTTACTTCATAGAATGGGGGGAGGGAGAATTGCTTCTTTCTCAATGTTTTGGAATAGGTTATACAATATCAATACTAGGTCGTCTTTGAAGGTTTGGTAGAATTTTGGTGTGGAACCATCTGGCCCAGGGCTTTTTTTGTGTGTGAAATATTTTGTATTGTTGATGCAATTCCAGTTCTTAATATAGGTCTCTTCAAAATTTCTAATGCTTTCTGATTGTGTTTAGGAAGGCAGTGTGATTCCAGGTATTGGTCCATTTCCT